TTCCCAGGAAAAAAAAAGCATCTGCTCTAGATTACTCATTGGAGAACCTTCTTGTCCCCATTGTTGTCCCTTACCAAAGCCAAACAATGGGCAATAATGATGGTTTTTTCCAAGATCTGCCTAACAAAAATTGCCATTCTGGATTTGTATCCTCCAACTGCTAGACCAGAGAGAATGCCTAGCAACCTAGTCTCTTCATTCCCTTTCTGTCCTTTCCCTAGTAGCTACTCTTGCCTAGCATTGTTTCTTTTGCCTGGTAAATTAGACAGATGGTTACCTTTGTGGCAGCTAATTAGTGCTGCTGGCTGACTAAAATAATTTGAGAAGATTCCTCCTATAAAAGAATGAGCCCAGCTGTCATATTTTGTAGTTCTCTGAACACAGAACATGAGTCTTGATTAGACATAAAAATCCCACTGACTTCTTGTCATGTGGTTACACCAAAAGTCACTATCTACCATCACAAATTGAACAACAACTTCTGCAGAAGCCTCATGGAGCTCTCCACTCTTATCCATTTAAAAATCTGTCTGAAAAGTTTGAAAGAGGAACTGATAGATTTTTTTTTTTTTTTTTTTTGAAAGGCCTTTGTTTTAACACCTCATAATATTAAGTCTACCCGTGACAGTTGTTTTCTGGCAACCAATGTATTCTGTAACCTAAATGTTTATTTCTGTCTCTTAAACATGCTGCCTTGGGTTGCAGGCCTATGGCTAACCTGTGTTGGATTGTATCACCTAGGCTGGATGCCTGGGTTTTAAAAGGTGGCAGTTAGATAAAACATTGAGTTAAGCAAGAATAATAATTCTCAACGCAAATCTTTAGGTTTGCAAAAAGCTGGTCTTGTAAGGTACTCAGTGTCTTCACCTCATTGCAGTCAGTGGAAGTTGCCGGCACTAACTTGTACACCTCATAAGAGCAATTCTTTGCAGTCGCAAGCTATGATGAGTAATTTCCATTTGTGAAATCAGTGGGGTCACACAGTGGAGGGAACTTGTATCTGTCCAGAGTCCTACTGACTTCACAAGAACTTTGTACAGGTCTGCCTCCATGGATTAACTTGTAGAGCCAGAGCCTAAGAGTCTTCTTATTGGGAACACAGTGGCAAATATAATCATGGGTGTCAAAGATACAGTCTGCAGAGCCCTGTGATCCAATCCATGGTGTTGCTTGTGTCTCACAGCAGCCCTAGCCCCACACACTACCTGCAGCACATAGGGTTGGTCATGTGGTGGACAGGGTTGGGCTTCGGGTCTGGTCTCAGAGTGGATAAACATCAATGATTTTTTAAAATTTAAATCAGATTTTTTTTAATTTAATTGTATTTTTGTTTTTGTTAAGATGCTCTTTAAAAAAATAAACCTATTTAAAGATGGTTTTAATTTAAGATTCGATAATGCTCAAAGATGTCATTATGGAATAGGGTTTATAACTTCTAATTATATACTATTTGAGACAATATATTTATGCAATCTTTTTAGAAAAGTTTTATAAATAGGTCACAACAGGCCATGGACTATATTAGGGGTCCAATCTTATGGGATTCCCAGAGGCTTCTCTACAGATTAGTAAAGATTAAAGAAAACCACTCTACTCCTACTGAGTACCCAGTGGGACTCAGTGCTCAGTCCAGAAGATCCGATTAAACATCTCTGTGATGCTTAGTTTCAGTTCTCAAACTATGGACTTGTGTCTCTAGAGATAATGTCCTTGTTAACAGCACTATATGGAGATGAGAGATAACAGACCTCATTACCTACCCATCAGTCCTCTTGTCTTTCAGCCAGTTTGTGTACACAGAGGCGAGTGCTTACCTCTCTCTAAAAGTGCAAATTTTCAAGAAGTTAAATGAATAGAGGATATCAAACAACAAGAATGCATATTTTTTGTAGAAATCAATGATTAAATCGAGGCTTTCTGGCCATTGTCTTAGATAGGGATTTAAATCAAATCCACTCTGTGTGGTCCAGTCTGTGGAGTGGCCCTGCATCTGAGTTTGATATCCCTGTCATAGGCCAACCTAATTTTTCCCTTTCATTCTTATTCTTAGTTGTAAAAGCCATTTCATAGATTTCATAGACATTAGGGCTGGAAGGGACCTCAAGATCATCAGGTCTAGCCCCCTGCCCAAGGGGCAGTAAGTCAGCTAGGGTCAAAGGATCCCAGCAAGATAAGCGTCCAAATGTTTCTTGAAAGTGTCCAGAGTAGGTGCGTGCACCACCTCTGTAGTGAGCCTGTTCCAGGCCTTGAGGGCTCGGACAGTAAAGAAGTTTTTCCTTATGTCCAGCCTAAAACATTCTTGCAAGAGTTTGTGATTGTTGGACCTTGTCATCCCCTGGATGTTCCCCCAGATCCTGATGCACACCTTGTCATCCCAGGTGTTCCCCCAGATCCTGATGCACACCCCTCATGTACATGTAGGCTGCCGCCAGGTCATCCCTGAGCCTGTGCTTCTCCAGGCTGAAGTCTCAAAGCTCACAGCCTTTCTTCGTAAGGCCTGTTCTCTTGTCCTCTGATTGTGCACATGGCTGTCCTCTGAAGTCTTTCAAGCTTCTCCATGTCCTTCCTAAATTGTAGAGCCCAGAATTGGATGCAGTATTCCAGCTGCAGTCTCACCAAGGCCGAGTTCAGTGGGAGGATGGCATCCTGGGTCTTGTTTGAGATACATCAGTAAATGCAAGCCAGAATTTTATTTGCTTTGCCAGCTGCGGTATCACATCGGTGGCTCATTCATCTTGTGGTCAATCATGACCCCCCCAAGTCTCTTTTGGTCATGGTGCTAGTGAGTGTAGCACTGTCAAGCTGGTAGGTGTGATTCAGGTTTTTATTTCTGAGGTAGAGCACCTTGCATTTCTCCATATTGAATGCCATCAGGTTTTCATCCGCCCACCTTAAAAGCCTATTGAGGTCAGCCTGGATCACCAGCCTACTAAGTATGGACACTCTTCCCCAAAGTTTGATGTTGTCAGCGAACTTGGCCAGTCCACTTTTGACACCAGTGTCCAGCTCATTTATGAAGACATTAAAGAGTACAGGTCCAAGAATGGAGCCTTGGGGGACACCACTAGTCACCGAGTGCCATGTTGATTTGTTTTCGTCAACTACCACACTCTGGGTCCAACCTCAAGCCAGTTCTCCAGCCATCAGACTGTGGAGTAGTTGAGACTGCAGTTGCCCAATTTTTCCATGAGGACATCATGGGACACCAGGTCAAAGGCTTTTTTAAAGTCCAAATATATGACATCAACCTCTTCCCTTTTGTCCAGGTGATACATCACCTGGTCATAGAAGGAAATGAGACTGGTCAGGTAAGACCTACCCACAACAAACCTGTGCTGGCTATCCCTCAGGATGTTGCCTTCTGTTATCCTGTCAGGAATGTTTTTTGATACTTTTTTTCCAAAATCTTCCCAGGGATTGAGGTCAAACTGATTGGCTTGTAGTTTCCCAGTTCTTTTTTCCTCCCTTTCTTGAAGATGGGCATCACATTTGCTCTCTTCCAGTCTTCAGGTACTTCACCTAAGCGTTTAAGGTTTTGCAGCGGTATCAGGTATTTGAAGAATCCATTTTGAGAAGTTAATTTAATGACCCAAAATGTATATTTGCTCCGTGTTTTCTCTCCATTATTGCTGATCTTTTACTAGTTCTGTGTGGGCTGACATACGAGTCTGTTAGTAAAAATGACAAATGAGAGTTACTTTAGAAAAATTAATAAGTGTAATTGCAAAAATAGTTAGCTTGCTTTGTAAATTCCAGCAGAGATGCCTTTCAGGGTTGTCACTTCTCATCAGTGAGAATAGTTTTTAATATAATATATTTGCCTCTCAGCTTTTCATTCTGATCCTTTTTTTAGTTTAGGCTTAGGCAAAGTATAAGCAGTTACAGTATTTTTTCTAAGGTCTATTAAATTTGTTTTAGTGGGATACTCTATGCTTTAAAATACTGTAAAAGAAGTCTTCCTGTTTTCAAGTTCTACGACCCTGGTTTCTGGGAGTTCTTTATCCTGTTCTCCTCCCCCATACCTCCCATAGTGAAAGTTTCTGTTTATTGAGAATGATTTGTTGTAATAAAGTATTTCATTATCACCACAGTATTCTCCTACTTCTGCAGTTAATACCAGCTGTGATTAATTTTTCATATTTTATTTTCATCCTTTTAGAAGCTGGATGCCAAAAATCTTATCAAACTGAACTTTGCTAAAAACAGTGAAGGTGAGTTTTCTAGTTCTAATGTATTTATTTATTTAATTTTGTGAATTCTTTTGAAGAACCAGGTTTGTCTGGCTCCTCTAGGTTCCTGCATTGAAGTAACTGATGATACCTGTTGTGTAGGATCACAGGGTTTTTAGTTCTGTTGCTGATTGTTAGAATCATTGTGCTCATCATTTAGGCCAGTGCTTCTCAACCAGGATGCTTTGAGGAATACCATGGGCCACACAGTACCACACAAAGTTAGCACTTTTAAGTAGGCCAACATGATTCATAAAATAAACCCATAGCCTGCATTTAGGTATCCATAGTGTTCAAAGCATTCTGACCTGTTCTGGGCTTCCTGATTTATTTGCAAAAGAAGAATTGCTTTATTTTTCTACAGTCAAAAACAAAAAAAAGAGTGAAAAGCAAGAGTTGCTCTTTTCCCAGAGGTGCCTTCAGTCTAAAAAGGTTGCAGACTGCTGATTTAAGCCCTATTTCTGCCATCCTTTTTTGGGTGATTTCTAATTCCACAAATAATACCACTTCAGTGCAGCTATTTGATACAAATAAAAGTTATGGAAATGGGTGATTTTTACATAATGTCACCATTTAGAATTAATTGTTCTGGGTATCACTCGTGAATTCTGAAATTCCAGGAACCAGGAAATGGTAGACCTGAAGGCAAAATACTCAATTAATTGTATCTAGCATCTTAAAGTTATTGTTTCCTGAGCATCTCCTTCAGAAAACTAGTGTCTTCTCAGCCTCACATGTGGGATTTTGTGAATAATAGCTTGTTAAGAGAACAGTGCACAGTTAGGCTTCTACTGGGTTAAACATGTAAAATGAAAGCTCAAGCCAAGACTTTCTCCATCATTATTGATAATATAGGTGAGATTTATTCATAATACTTTGCACTGTTCAATGTTCTTTGTAGCCATAAATGTATCAAGGCAAACTCTTCTCTGAGGCAGCTAGTGATATATTTCATTGATGGTGAAATGGGCAGCAAAGGTTAGAGTGGTGTAGATTGGATTGGATAAGAATTCTGAAGTTCCCAGCTCTAAATCCAGACTCGGCTCTGTAGACCAATAGGGACCAACCGTATTGCCAGGCAAGCCACAAGTTAGCCCTGAACCCTCCCCTCCACTCTGATTCCTTCCCTTGCCTGATTTTCTCCTGTACTCTGCTGCCTGTACTCCCTGCCCAAGCTGCATTTCTGCTTTCTCCTCTCTTCCCCATTTGCCACTACTGCTGTTCCCACCTCAGTCCTCCATGTGCCCCACACAGAGACTTCCCATGCCACTTGTGGCCCATATGTCGCAGGTTGGCCACCTGTGCTCCAGACCACGTGGTATCTATAAGAGTCTTCTGTTTGTAATGGGTTTCTTTTTAGAGGCTTGGATTTAAATGACACATCTTAATGTCTATAAAACATTTTCATGATTATAGTTAACAAATTGGACAAAATTGTAAAGAAACAACCAGCAGTTTTGCTGTATGCAGCTTACTAAATCTACAAGTGGCGGCACTCTTTGAAAGTCTGCTTAAGGGGTGGATACCAGATTGGGCATGCAAAAATGGAGGTATGCATAGTTAGTATAGTCATCATATTTTGCAGTCTTGGCTATGATATTTTCAGCTCATGGTGCAGACCTTGGTTATGCAATTATCAATAACCAGTCAAAGTAGTGCAACTAATATTCTTTGTACCAAGTTCAAAATATAAAAGAGTCCATAGTAGAGACTAAGTATGTAGGAAACATTTCCTTATATATTTTTTTTCCCTTTCTTAACTTTTGCAAAATATTTACTCCTTTGGTCCAAAATGTCTTATGCTGAATTTTGGGTGTAAGGTTAAATATTCAAATTAAATGCTACAAGAATTGCAGACCTAAATTTGAGTTAAAAGGCTTCAGAAAAATATTTTCCCGTGTCTCTGTTAATTCAGTAAAGCTTGTTTTTAAAAAGCCATCCTTGAAATGGACAGACAAGGTTCCTTGGGTGAATTTGATATCTTTTATTAGACCAACCCAAATGGTTGGAGAATAGTTATTAAGCAAGCTTTCGGGTTCAAAAACCCTTCGTCAGGCTAAGGAAGCTGCAGCAGTTGGTGTGTGCTCTTCCTGGATGGAATGACAAGTAAACAAGCCAGGGGCTGGGCTGGGGAGTCAGTTGCCAGGCAGATTGTAATGTATCAAAAATCCAATGTCTGTGTTTAGTCCAGGATCTCTAGTATCCAGGAGGTTGATGAAATGGAGCTCATAGGCTCGTCTCTGGGAAGTGTTGTGTAAGTTTCCCTTGAGGATCAGGACTGAGAGATTGGAGAGAGAGCGGCCCTCCTGTGAGAAATGTGCCCCCACCAGTAATTGGGTGTTTCTGTCTTTGATGGATTTCCGGTGTGCGTTCTTTCTGGTGCGCAGTTGTTGTCTGGTCTCTCCTACATATCTTCCGTCAGGGCATTTGGTGCATTGGATGAGGTATACTACATTCCTGGAGGTGCAGCTGTAAGATCCTGGGATGCTGATGGCTCTGTTGTGGGGTGTAGTAATAGTGGAGGTGGTGGAGATGTGGGGGCAGGTTTTGCATTTCGTGTCCTGGCACGGTCTGGCCCCTTTTGGTGTGTTCTGGGGTTGAGGAAGTTTGCTTCTGGTGATGAGGTTGGCGAGGTTCGGTGCTTGTCTGAAGGCTAGGATGGGTGGCTCTGGGAAGATCTTTTTAAGAATAGGGTCTTTTTCTAATATGGGTTGCAATTTTTTGAGGATTTTCCGTACAGGTTCAAGGGATGGGTGATAGGTCATAACCAGCGGTGTGCGATTTGTGGGTGTTTTTCTTCTGTACTGCAGCAGTTCTTCACGTGGTATCCAGGTGGCTCTTTCAAACGTGCGATCTACCTCTCTGGAGGAGTGTCCTTGCTGGGTGAAAGCCTTTTTAAGATTGGTGAGGTGGCAATCCCGGGTGTGCCCTTCAGTACAGATGCGGTGGTATCTGAGGGCTTGGCTGTATATCACTGCTTTTTTGGTGTGTTTCGGGTGATTGCTGGTTCTGTGCAGATATGTATGTTGGTCTGTGGGTTTCTTGTATACTGTGGTCTGTATTTTACCCTTCTGGATACTGATCCTTGTGTCTAAAAAGGGGATGTTGGTGTTGGAGTATTCTAAAGAAAGTCGGATGGAGGGATGGTGACTGTTGAATTTCTGGTGGAACTCAAGTAGAGATTCCAGGTTCTCACTCCAAATGATGAAGATGTCATCGATATATCGTAAGTACAGCAAGGGTTTGATGGTGCAGTTCTTGAGGAAGTCTTCTTCCAGGTGGCTCATAAAAAGGTTGGCATACTGTGGGGCCATTTTAGTGCCCATAGCTGTTCCCATCATCTGGAGGAAGTGTTGATTATTAAAAGTGAAATTGTTGTGTGTGAGGATGAAGTGTATAAGCTCAGTGATATCTTTGGGTCTGTATTCTGGGTTGTAATCTTGTTCCTGTAGATATGTAAGGCAGGCATGGATGCCATCCTGGTGTGGGATGTTGGTGTATAGGCTGGTAACGTCCATGGTGGCTAGGAGTGTGTTCCTGGGAAGGTGGTCTATGTTTTTAAGTTTCCGTAGCAAGTCTGTGGTGTCTTGGACAAAACTTGCTCTGTGGGTGACAAGCGGTTTTAGGATGGATTCAACAAAACCTGATATTTCCTCAGTTAGGGTCCCATGGTTGGATATGATAGGTCTGCCAGGGTTCCCTTGTTTGTGGATTTTAGGGAGCATGTAAAAAGTCCCTGGGTTAGGTAGCGGGGGGATCAAGGTCTGTAGTTTTTCTTGTAATCTTGGTGGAAATGATTTGATGGTATTGTTGAGTTTTTTGGTGAAAAGGGGAGTAGGATCTTCTTGTAGTTCTTTGTAGTAGGTGGTGTCAGAGAGCTGTCTGTTGGCTTCCTTTATGTAACCCTCACGGTTTAGGATGACTATGGCTCCTCCTTTATCTGCTGGTTTTATTACTATTTGGTGGTTAGATCTTAGAGATTCTATATGGCCTTTTTCTCTGGTAGAGAGAGGTTGTTGTGGTGGCGTGTGTTGCTGATTATTTCCTTGAAATGGATGCATTTCTCCAGGATGGAAAAAGTACGAGACATGAGAGAGCATGGTTGATTTAAGAAACAAAGTAATTAATATTGTAATTCAATAAACATCTTTTGAGTTAGCTTCTACAAGCAAGTTTGCAACATTCTTAGGTGTCCAGGATATATTATTATGTAATATGTGTCAGCACGGGTGACAAAGTGTCTCAGAATTCAGGGTTAGAGGACTCATCCTTGGAACAAGTAATCAAGAAAGGATCCCCTTTTGATGATAACCTGCAGGAAGAATAAGTTCTCAGGTTCTGTAGTATATTAGGTTTGGAGAATACTAAGATTTTATATGGGTTAGAGATTTTGGAAACCATTCTTAGAGCATGAACCTTCATGTTGTGCACTTATTACAGTTTAACTCCTTACACTGCTGGTCAGGGTAGAGTTTTTAACTATGTTAAGTTCCTCAGAACCTCTTAGTAATCTTTAGTAATCTAAAAGCTTACTCGGAAAGAAGCTTTAGATTTTTGCCATGAAACCATTTCTGATCATGGCAGCTTTTGTTATACAGGCTGTTTCATGCACAATGATTGTTTTGCCATCTACAAATGAAATACCGTATACTTCCAGGTAACTCGTCCCTTCTGTGTTTAGGGGGTTCTTTATGTATGCTGAAGTGCAAGCTTGAAGTGAAGTCTGATGGCCTAGAAAAAAGAGCTGGAGTGTGGGAGTTTTGTAATCAAGTGTAACATCAGTGTGCAATTGCCAGAGTCCAGAATGTCTGTTCTGAGAAACAGAAGTTCTCTGGGCCAGAGGCCATGTGTTGTTCTGTGTTTTTGTCTGGTGGAAAGGGGTCCTGTATTCCCCTGGCACAGACATGACGTACCACTGGAACGGCCACAGCAGCCTTTTCTTAACAGGAGTCTACCTTTGGGACATCCAGGTGATGGAGAAATTGTCCCATTAGGTAAAATTATGAGAAGAGGCAAAAGAAGCATAGATATTTAGAAATATGGATTCCATTCCTAATATGTTTAAAGGACAAAAGTTCTCCAGTTAGTAAGGCAGAGTCTGTAGCCAGATATTTTGAATATTATTTAATATTATTGAACGCTGTGTTTTTTATATACAAATTTCCATACTGATAGTAGAGGTAATAATTAATAATAATTGTCATATATTGTTTCTTTGGAAAGATGTGATAAATACAGCCTCATTCAAATTCCTGTGTCTTCTTCCTATGTTGGACTTTGGTTTCTATAATTATCTGAGGGGGGGAAAATGTTTTTAAAAGCTGCATCTCATGTAGTGCTAAGTCAAGGGAGAAAATACTGTGGAAGAGGAGGAGGAATTCATTTTTTATTTTTATCTAATAGTAGATGTTCTGTAAGACATGGCCTATGGGATGTTAACATGCACATAAGCATCATACTCCCCAACTTTTCATATAAAAAGTGTGGTCTGCAGATGTCACAGGCCCTTCCAGGTAATGGTTCATCTTTATCTACCCAACTTTTATTCAGATTATGATGGCTCATGTGTCTCCATGAATCTGTGTCTTAAGGATGAAAGCAGATACCAATATGTTTTGTTTTATGCAATTGGGGTAGTTCTTCAGCTCCATCACCTTGTATTCAATCAGTTGGGTAAAGTTCCAGTGTCTCTTCTGTAAAGTCTCTTTTAATTTTTTCCCCTCATTTCACAATCTCACATAAAATGTAGATGGCCTTCAGTTTAATTTTGGATAGCATTAAGAAAAACCCCTAATTTTCTTTTGCTGGCTTCTGCAGCTCTGAGGTCAGAGAACTTGCTCTGGCCAACTCTTTAAAGGGTAAATACCAATAAGGTGTTTGCTTCTCCTAACCTTAATGCATCAAGCGCTATTTTCTTCAGCTTTCTCTACTGTTTTTGATTCATTAGACTATAAACAGGAAGAAAGGAATCAAGTGACACAAAACTACTAGAATTTCAACCCAACTCCTAGCAATCTGATCAAGCTTCTAATTGCGTTCCACTAAGTCTGCGGTTCCCAAACCGTAGGTTGCAACCCCAAATGGGGTCACAACATCAGTGGATGGGGTTGCGACGTAGTGCCCTTTTCCGTGCCAGGTCCCACCCACTGGACTGCAGAGGCCTGGAGGAAGGGAAGCGGAGTAGGGAGCCCAAAGCCCACAGTGGGCAGCCCACATTCTCCCCATCTCCCTTGCCCCCCACCACCAGCTCCTCTCTGGCTGTGCCACCTGCAGGGGAGGGGACAGGTGCGGGGAGCTGGGCTCTGTGCTTCGGCCTCAGCAGCTGCTGCTTCCTGCAGGCGGTAGCCAGGGCTCAGGCGCTTCTGGGATAGGGGGTAAGGGGCTGTGGGCCCTGGCCCCGGGGCACCTGGGGAAAGTGGGATGCTGCGGATTGGGAGTGAGGGGTACTGACAGCGTCAAGGGTCTGTAGGTTGGGAGTGAGAGGCACCGGGGGGGGCCTGCAAGTTGGGAATTGAGGGGTCATGCTGAGGAAATGGGGTCATACTGGGGAAAAGTTTGGGCAGCACTACACTAAGCTTATCTATATGCTTTTTTCATCCATTGGCTTCCATCACAATGTTTATTTAAGACATTTAATATTTATGCTCACCCTCATAGCAAAATTTACAGCTCAGTTTGAACTGATGCCAGATTCTTTATTGGCAAGGGGAAAAACATGGTCAGATTTAATAGAATTTTGCTCACTAAGGCTGAATGCACACAGCTTTCCTCTCTTACGAGCACAACTCCTTTCAAGGGCCATTTTGTATGCACCTCTATGAAATACAAGCTAAGCCCTGAAAATAGAGATTGAAATACTTTAAGAGGCATAGGCTCAAGCTCTCAATAGGTCTAAATCAGGGGGTCAGCAACCTATGGCCGGTGAGCCAGATCTGGACTGTGTAGCCTTTGGATCTAACCCACAGAACCATAGCTTCGGTAGCATGGGGCTCTCCCTGCGGTGCGGTGCAGTCAGCCATCTGGGGCTCCGGCAGAGAGCGGCTTTTACAATGCTATGCTGCATCTGGGGGTTGGGAAGGAGTGGCAGCAGTAGCTGCCAGCACCTGAGCCTGCCTCCAACATGAGCTGGGTCATTCCAGCTCCCCAACTGGAAAATGTTGCTGACTTCTGCTCTAAATAATTACAATAATTTGTATGCTGTCAGAATATGGAGATACCACATCACTGCATGATAATACTTTTCTGCTGAATATAAGGGCAAGAGATTTCAAGATGCACATTTGTCTTGCATTACAATTCTCTTTAAGTGTCTTTTTTCTTGCCTAGTACTAGAGAATTGAAGTGAGAATTAACAGCAGTGCTATCTGTACATTGAAATTGAACCTACTTTTATATCTTTATAAAAAAAATTAAAGATCTTCACAAGGAGTGAATATAACACACAACTCTTCCATAACTCAAAATAACCATAAGGAAACCAGCTCAGTAGGTTCATTTTTTGTTTGCTTTCCACACTTAGGTAAATACCACTGCCCAGTGCTGTTTACTGTGTTCACCAATAACTCCCACATAGCGGCTATCAAGACAACTGGAAATGTTTATGCTTATGAGGTAGGCTCTCCATTGCATTTTGTTGTTAATATTTTACATTTGCCGGGCACCTTTCATTCCAGGATCACAAAGAGGTTTGCCAAGCTGGGCAAGTATTCTCTCTTTAACAAATGGGGAAGCTGAAACATACAGAGATCAAGTGATTTGCGTGACCTTAGACCGGGGTGGGCAATTATTTTGGGCAGAGGGCCACTTACTGAGTTTTGGCAAGCTGTCAAGGGCCGCATGGGTAGCCCTGCTCCTTGACAGGTGCCCCACCCCCTGGTCACCGTCTTGTGACTGGAAGTCCTGCCCCCTAACCCCTCACCTTTGCCACCAGAAGTCCCTCCCCTTGCCCCTGGAAGTACTCCTTTCAGCAAGGGGGTTTGCTGTCTTGGAACTAGAAAAATACCAATGATATTCTAAAAAGCGAGCATCTAAAACGTTAATTTGATTTTGAAAACTATTTTTGTTCTTGTTTACATGTGTTTGTGTAGTGTACATAGAGGTGATTGTATATAATAGCTTAAAATGAAGTCTTACTATTATATATTGGGGGGTATAGGCTTGCGGGGGGCTGTGGGTATGTGGGGTGTGGGAGAGGGTCTGGGTGTGTCTATGGGGGGTCGATAGGTGTGGGGTGAGGGAGCATGTGGATGTGTTTGAATATGTGGGGTGTGGGTGGGTATGCAGTTTGTGGGGGAATGGCTGGGGTATGTGAGAGGGTATGGGTGTGGGGGTCTGTATGTATGGCAGTGTAGGGGAGGGTGTGGGACTCACCCTGCTACACGCACACGCATCCCCCGCCTACCTGGGATACCGGCGTAGACCTCGTGCTCCCGCAGTACAGCGATGCAGCCAGAGCCATGTGGTGCTGAAGCAGTGCAGGGGCAGCAAGGCAGGGAAATGTCTGGGGGTTGGGTGTCCTGCTGCCAGCTCCCCCTGAGACCTACTGCCCCTGGCTCCTGTCATGTTTGACGGGCAGCCAGGAGCAGGTAAATATTAATTTTCTAAATTTTTTAGGGGCCCCGTGGGCTGGATTAAAAAGGTCTGGTGGGCCGGATCTGACCCATGGACTGTGTTTTGCCTGCCCCTACCTTAGACCATAAACCAGGTTTAGCATGGCAAGTAGAACCTGAAGCTGTCTAATCCTTGTCCCCATCTCTCTTGTCTAAGCCACACTACATAGCTTCATGAGGGTGGAATTCAGTGCACCACTTATGTCCTATTCAGGCTTCCAAAATAGGATTTGTATTGTGCAAATTCTGACTCCCTTCATAGAGGGGTGTTTCGCCATTTATGGACAGATCTAGAAAGTGATGTAAGAGATGTGTTACTTTGAAGTCATTTATTTTAGTAAACAGCATGTAGATGAGGCTTAGACCTGTAGCCCAGCACATATTTTCCTCCCAATTCATGTTATACTACTTATTTTGAATGAAAAAACTTTGTGAAGCCAAAACTGTTTCTTCCTAGTACATTTCTTTGGGCAAAAGGTAGGTTGCTTGTTTCTAATGCCAACATTCACTAAACAAGAATATCTTTCTCAGGTGCTTGAGAAAGGTGAGAAAAAAACATTTGTGGATATTTAGGTTATTCACTTGGTTATTGCATTTTTCAACTTATTGGAACTTATTCATGTTTTATGAACATTTTGGTTATGGGTTTATTTTGTTTGTTAATTTCTCACTGTAAAACTAATTTCAGAACTTGGGGTGATCAGGAACATAGCTTGAATAGCTAATACTGAAAGAAATATATGATACAAACAGTTCCCAGGCTAAAATTTGTTCATACAAAACAATCATATCTATTTGACATAATGAAATTTCCAGTAGGCTAGTGAAAAAGAAAAGAGTTTGCATAGTTTTCAAAAAGAAAAAAGGCTAAATTGAGCAACTGTTGAATTGTTCTATCAGTTCTAGTTGGAAGTGTGGTTTTATTTCAACTTTGGGAAGCAAACAAAACTGAATTAACATACTTCCCTTTCTCCTCTGGAAACTTGAATATTAGTTTGCCTCAGCTGCAAGTGAAAATGGCTTTGCAAATTACTCCTCCTAAACAAGAATTTACCCATAGTATAAAACTGATATCCCAGTTAGTACAATTTACGATCCTTGATTTAGGTTTAATTTACAGCATAGGGCTGCTCTATAACTACAGTGCCTCGCCCTCTGGTGTAGAAGTAATTCTGCCCACACAATTTTTAATGCTGCCCGAATGATACTTGCTTACATCAGTGATAGAATGTCTGTCAACTAGAAGTCTTCTGTATCAACAGTGCATATTTTGCTGGCGTAGCTATCTTGGTTCCAGGTTGTGATCTTGTCATACCCTTATTTATGCAGTTGTGCTGGGAGAACTTTGCACTGTAGCCAAGACCAAAAATCAGCTTGCCTAAATGAAAGTACGTGGAAGCCTGCACAACACTTGCTCACACTCTGTCATGTGGGTCAGTGTAATTTGTTCCTGACTTCCACAAGTTTTGTTTTGGAAGAAAGACCATATCTTTCCTTGTAATTAAATTTGCATATTTGCATGATGTCCTTTGTGAGACTGTCTGCTTTGACTGTTTTATTTGTTCAAAAGCACCACGCATTTTGGTTGATCTCCCACTTTATTGTAACCTGTTGCTTCTTTTGTAAATCATATTCATCACACTTTTTGAACTAGGTGTTAATCTTGGTTCATGCATTAAATACAGTTCTGTACATTTGAACTAAAATATAGAAAACTACTGCCGCAATTTTCTGTGCGTGCTATTTTTGTGTTCTTTTGGTTACATTAATTTTTTAATGTAAAGAAATAATATACATAACTAGAAAAACCTTAATGAAAGGGTTTCTTTAAGAGAAAATGTTGAATAAAAAGTTTAGGGAAGAAATAATATATATTTCTATAATTGACAAGGAGCCCAAATGAAATATCTGTTCGCGCCTTAGAGGTGAAAATCTTTAAATTGTTTTCTGCATCCCTTACACTCTAAGGGATCAAAGATGTTTTCTGTTTGCAAATCACATCATTTCTGTGTTTTTTACTGGGCTATTAGGCAGTTGAACAGCTGAACATAAAACCTAAAAACTACAAGGATCTTTTGACAGAGGAACCTTTTACTCGGCAGGACATCCTGACACTGCAGGTAAAACTTTTACACCCATATTGTACATCTTACGCTGCATATGCCTTCTTCTGGAGTGGGTGGGGAATAAGGCAAACTTGCCAATACATGTTGTACTATTAATATATGATGACTGATTTGTGGTTATAATTGGGAGGGAAATTGTGCCACTCTCTTTGGTTTCTGGGATGGCTAGCTATAGAAAAGGCATATCACTTCAGCAGTGCTGGAGCAAAATCCCTAATTATGTTTATTTCTCTCTGCCATTGCATATAGAAGATAGTTACCAACTTTTACAAATAGAAAGGCAGCCCTTTGAATTTTTTTAAATTAAGGAGCATGTTTACATGTAGATGGGGAAAAAAATAACAAAGGTACTAGATCAAACATAAGTAAGTGTTCACGTATTTTAGCAATCTAAATTTAATATTTAATAGGTGAGAGTAGATGTACAATAAACTGAAATTTTAGTTATTGGGTCTCATTGTTAAATCTCTTTAGGTATTATATTCCTGTTTTTAAATATTTTGCTGAAAAGTCTTTTAAAGCCACTAAGTTATTGTGAGAATTTTCAAATTTGCAGATTTTTAAAGAGGGAATTAGCCAGGTTCTACTGTAATTTTCTATAATAATCTAGAAGTGGGCAAAATGGTCAGAGTTGTCTTCAGATCTAGCCAGCCAGTCTGACAGCCAAGAATACATGGACCACATTCTCACAAGAAATTTAAACCATCCACATATAAGTGTCTGCCGTTTAAAACATTACGATGATATGGATACAGTGTGTTATTTTAGGATTGATTTAAAAAGAAAAACCAAGAGAACAGATAGCTTCAGCAAAGTTAGTTATACCAAGTGTTTCCCCACATATAAAGGAAAACTGGCAGCAGTTCAGCAATCTTTATTTGAATATTTTTTACTTGTAGCTGCTGTCCTGTAAGATTAAACTGTTTGTTTTAAAAGGAATGTATAAAACTAGAAAGAAGTAACTGAATGGTAGGTGGTAATTAAACCATAAAACTTAAAAGATAACGAAGACATTTACAGTAGAATCAAGAGTCTTTATTTTCCATAAATGTGAAAAGTAGATGAAGGTACTTAGGCTTTTTAGCGTTTTAGTAGTATTGGTATCTGTATTAAAAAACTAAAACCACTTTTAGTTTGGTTTTAATAAACAATTAACTTACAAATACATTTTATTAAAGTATTTAAAACCCTCCTTTCTTTTGGCAGACTGTGGAATAATTTAACTATTAAGCTTGCATTATAACAGGATAGAAATAGATTTTAGGCCAAATGCTGACAAAGAATGATTGACAATGCTAGGCTAAAAAATGCTAATAAACATTTGTATTGAAAATGTTTTTCAAATACATGTCTAAATGTATTCATGGTGAGAAGGGTTCCATTTCTTTTCGTATTTCTCTGTTGCACAATATGTCTACAGTTTTTTTTTCTCCTTCCTGGGAATATAACTATTCAAGCTAGCACTATACAATTCAAATATTTTAACCCATTTAAGGTTGAGCAACATAACTTCACTTAAATTTCAAGTTTCAAAGCTCCTATCAGGAAGATACTTGTAGCTGAAAAGATAAAGCGAGTAACTGATTTGTTTATGCCACTGGTATGAAAAACCAAACAGATTTTGAAATGTCCTTAAAAAATCCTGTTATTTAACAAATGATCTGGCTTTATGTTCTGTGGGTACAGATTTTAAATATGTTAATAAAAGTAGATTTGTCATCCACCTTGTTTTATTATGTATGTTCATCTAAATGTATGCTTTGCCCATCGAAATTTTTCAGATTGATAAATTGGCATGATAACTTTTTTGTTTCTTGCAGAGGGACTTTATCAACTTTATTTCATGAGATACTTCATTTGTCTTGTACACCCTTTCATTAACATAAAGGAAGTAGACTCTAAGCAATGGTCAGTTTTGGTGTGTACCCACACTCAGTCTCCCATGTGTGGAGATAATAGCCATATGTTAAATTTGCACTTGGATCATTCATTTAGGACAGAACTATTAAGGAGCTGCGTCATCTGACCTGGAGGACTTGTAGAGGGGCCAGGAAATTGGGAGTAGGGCTTGCCACTGAAATCCATGGTACAGAGTCCAATTAAAGATGCATATAGCTGAGTGGGCAGGGAGTAAGCAGAGTACCTGGTTAGGCAGGGAGCACAGGGCACAGAGCAGGAAGCAGCACAGCAGTTTGGGTAGGAGAAAGGGTTCAGAGTGGCACTCAGGGAGCGTGAGGAGCTAATGTGTGGCGCACCTGCCAAAAAGGTTGGCTCCCCACTGCCTTAAACCAGAGGTCAGCAACATACGACCCACAAGGCAGATCCAGCCTGTGAAGCCAAGGATCTCGTCTGCAAAGCCTTCAAGCCACAAAGGCTGCCACTGGAAGTTTTGCTTATGCCCGTACCTGTGTTGACCCCAGGGCTAAGCAGCATGGAGCCATGCTGGGGCAGGGCAGCTTCCACCTGCGCCCTTGCCACTGCTGCTTCCCTGCCCCGTACTCCCAAATCTCTCCCCAGCTACGGAGTGAGCATAGCTTCCAGCTGGTGGAGAGCTGCACCGTGGCAGCAGTGCCCATAGCGCTGCCACTTCTTCCCCCTTTCCTTGACCACCCTGCTCCTCTCCCACATATGCCGCCCAGCTGTGGTACAGACGTGGCAGATGCATAGCACAGATTCCAGCTGTTTGGCCCTGACACAGCTCGCTACCAGTGGGAACCTGGACCCATGCCCCAGCTGGGGAGCTGGGGGCTGAGAGAAGCTGTAGTGGCATGAGAGCAGCTATCACCTGCCTGGTCCCAGCACAAGCTCAGGGAAACCTCACCCCTATTCTGGAAGCTACCTGGCCTGCATTGGATCAGAGTTAGATTGTTCTGGTCCATGGTTTGAAAAGGATGTTGGCCATTGCCTTAAACAGTTAATTTTCTGTTAGTTTCTCAAAATGGATTCAGCCATGAATATTTTAAATGCAAAATGTTTTGCTCGTCTAATCCACATCTTGTTTTTTTAGCAAGATTTTCCCTATTTTAGAGAAAAAAATGTCACTGGGGTGAAAAATGGTACAGTTCATAGCAGCTTTCACTGGCTAAATTAGTTTGTTTTTAGCACAGAGTCATTGCACACGCCAGCCCTATTTTAATCCTCACAGTAAATTCTAGTCTGTCTGGTTGCTTTATGCAGAATGAAATACATTTATTTATCTGCTCAGGCATACAGCAGACCACTGACTAAATTTGACTCTGCCTGACCACATTTTGTCTGCAGCCTGAAAGTACAAGGGTTATTTTTAAAATGAACAAAGAAAAGGAAATAAAGCTGTGATGGGAAACGAGAAAAGCTAGGAGATTCACCTTAAAGGGGGAAACAAACCATTTGTATCTTCCAACATACAGATTTAATGGCATAATCTGGGAAATAGCTTAGGGACTCCCATTGTGTGTAAGTACTAAAGGATACAGATGTCTCACAGGGGTCAGTTTTCAAAGCAGTTTATTAAGACTTGACTGTATTACTCCCATTAAGGTCACCGAGAGTCAGGCTGTTGAATCCCTATGGGCTGCTTTGAAACTACTTCACTTTGTTTTTCAGTCTTGGCCATTAATTTCCAGGTGGCAGTGGCAGGGGCTATTTTTATTGAAATGGTGATCTTCTGTTTTCAGCTGTTTATTTTTTTTTTTTTCCCCTGTGCTCCTTCTGGTAGATCATTTAGAAGAAAGGCAAAGGATGGTGGGTTTCTTCTTTATAAGGTCAGTTATCACTGAGACCATGGGCAGCAGAGGGACTCCCCCTTGTATGGTTTTTAAGCTATGGTTCTGTTCTCTTAACTTGTGACTCTGGAGCTCTGTCTTTAAATATACATTCTTTTTAGAAAGGTTTTGTGTTAATCTTATCACAGGTTTGTTCCTTTCCCATGTGTGAATTGAACGCTTTGTGTCTGAGCAAGTGAGAGAGAGAGAGTCACCTGGTAGCTCTGACCCTGCTAGTTGGCAAAGAATCCGGTATAAATGAGGGTTACTATAAAAAGCATTCTTTGCTTTGCAAATAGCAGCTGTATGGGGCTGTATTTTTAGTAGCTCAGTTTATCGACAGAAAGCAGACTTTGGAAATGCTGGATCTTAAAGTCCTGGGAAGCAGATGGGGTACATGTGTTACTGTAACTGGTTTGATAGTAAAATTTAACTTGAATTAAAGTAGAAAGCTAGACTAATATGGATGTGCCTGGTATTTTCCAGATGCATCTTTTTTTCCTTGTCATTGGATATAACGACATTTTACAGCTGCTAAAGGTATATTTGTTACTGAAATAATGAATGGCCCCAAACTTAACCTGCCTCTTCAAGATGTTTATCTGTTATGAAGCACATGGTGGGTTTATTCTTTACAGGGTTTCTTTTCTGCATAGAATTTTTTAAAGTATAAGAAAAAAGTTGTAGCTAGTCCTGCCTATCATCACTGCTTGTTGCACAAACATGAATCATAACCTCCTTATACAACTTCATTACTGCTCCAGTTAAACTGTTGCATTTGTTGTGGTTTCATTTATAGAATAATGTATGTAATAACGTCTAGGCTTTTTATTTTAAAAATCCTCAAATTTTATTTGAGGATTTTTAACAACAACACACAAACAACAACACTTTTATTCGTCTGGGGAAAAGAGCTAACCTACAGCTCTCTCTCAGCAATAAATACCATACATCTTTATTGCAGGGTTGTTGATTATAGCCATGTTGGTCTAAGGACATAGGAAGGCAAGGTTCTTTGGGTAGATGTGATATCTTTTATTAGACCAACTAAATAGATGGAAAAAGTTATTGGCGAGCTTTCCGGCACAAACACCCTCCTTCAGGCATAGAGCAGGGGTTTTCTTAGCCTTTATCTTCCTAAGGCCTCCCCTAGCATGCTATAAAAACTCCACAGCCCACCTGTGCTACTCCCTGCATGAGAAAGGACCAGCCTGCATGGCCCCAGGTGCAGCAAGTGGGGCTTGGCAGTGG